TTAAAACAGATTTCTAAATAAAAACAAAATTACTATATTATATTTTGTATTTTTTTCTTTTAATTATTAAATTCTAAGTATAATGTTAAAATATATTATCTATCGTAATTACATTATTGTATTGAAACCCTCAAAATATTATGTTATCATGGTTTTATTCAAAAAACACTTGCGGTTGAAATCTAAATTTTTGAGATAAACAAAAGTAAATTTCATTATTTGTTTTACAGACAGTATTTTGAAAATAATGCTAATTCTTATGCAGAAATGGGAATATTGCAATACTTAAAATTACTTGTAATTAAAATTAAATGTTATAGAAGTTATTTAAACAGAACATATTTTATAAATTTAATTAGCATTATGTTATAAGATCAAAAATTTAATGTAAAAATAAATTTTCACAATAAATTGTAAAAAGCAATCACTTCACAATTACAGTATACGTAAAACCTATAAATGAACACCTATAATTATTACACCTAAATTATTTAATGATTTTAACAATTTACTAATAAATTTACTAATAAACACTTCACTAATCGCTACAATTTCAAAATTTTAAATTGGACCACGCGAATGAAGTTAGCCAAAAAAATCGTACTTATGGAAGTTTGAATTATTCATAGTTTGCTCAAAATTTTGGCTAGTGTACCTCAATTTCTTCCCAATTTATTGTTAAAAATTTAGATTTCGAGTCTTGTTCTCTTTACGGAAAAAATATTTACAATGTGATGATACATTTTCCATTTTCCACAACATCCAGCATTAAAAACTTAAAAAGAAAAATATAAAAGAAATACCAATTTAAAATATAAATAATTTAATATACGCAGTATAAAAGAATTCCTATACTTTTTATTTACAGTCTGGGTACTTTAATTATTTTCAAGTTTATTGAACTATTTTAAAAACCAAAATAAATGAGTCAATTTTTTTTTAAATATTTCTTAAAAGCACGCATGCAATCACACAATAATCGTGTAATAAAAATTATAAAAATATATAAAAAGCGTATAGATAATAAAACGTGAAAAAGAGGTCATTATCAAAAAATTATGGTGCTAATATCTTCCGCTAGGGTCAATATTCACTTTGTTCTCCCTAAAGTTTTTATTTATGTACATGTTATTTTGTCTTGTTTTTCTTTTTGTGCCGCATTATTGCTTTTCATTATTGTAAATTTTCTGAATTTTCTCTCTTTTTCATATATTGGTATATTTTTGTGTACTTATACTAAATTTAGAATTTTTATATTAAAAATTTTCAATGTAAAGTAAAAAATAAAATATTTTTTTTTTAATTCTACATCACAATCTGTATGTATATAAATAACAAATATAATAATGTGCGTATATGTACATACATATTGAATATTTTATTATATTTCTTGATAAGTAGAGCATTCAAATAAATACTACAAATTTATGTCATAAAATTTTAATGATATAAAAGCATATAGCAAACGCAAACATGCACACACACACACACACAATCTTTAACCTAAATTACGCGCGATTTGCTTAATCTGCACTTCTTTTTTTTTTGTTTTCTGTTATGTTTTTATTGCCGAATATTTTGTCAGTTGATTTAAATTATGTAGATATACATGTATACAATGTAGCAATCAAAATTTTCATAAAGCATTTTGACGGAACCAACATTTAGAAATTTTTCAAAAATTATAAGCAGTTTAAAACCGACTGTGCAACAAAAAGGAATTAAAATAAAAATCATTATTATTTTTTGTGCATTGCAAAAGTGAATTTTATTTAAACATTATTATTATTAAAAAAAAAAATAAATACAATATTCATTAACACATTTTAGTTAACGATATTATATACATATAAGTATGTGCAGTTATTCAGTTTATAAATTAACAAAAATTAAAATATAATTAATTTTTAATTACCGCATTTATTAAAATACAAAACTTTAATCTGGCAATAATGAATTTTCAATGTAAAATCATAATTATAATATTATAAACAAATTTTAAATTAAATTAACAAAGGAAGTAAATAAAGAGCAAAAAATAAATAAAAATAAAATAATAATAAAAAAGAAAAAAGCTATAATAATTCTTAAAAGATAACGGTAAACAAATTAATGATCAGTCACTTGTTGGTGGGGTATATTAACTAAAACAATCGTCATTTTATCATACGAGTACAATAGCAAAGTTATTGGCACGAAAAGAAAAACAGAAACAGAAACATTACAACAATAACAAAATGGGTAATGAAGATAACCGGGAATTGTATTCAGCGCATTATAATTGTAATGATAACGGTGAATTTAGTTTTGAATTTTTGCCGTTAGAGGTAAGATAATATTTTATTAATTTAAATTACATATTACGTATGTATGTATGTATGTATATCTGTGGTATTATAACAGAAAATGTTAATTGTATTAAGTTGAATTGTATATGTACATATACTCGTACATATGTAAGTATTGAGTGATGTCTACATTTTGTATAGCTTGAGAAAATTGTTATTATAGAGAAATTATTTTATAAAGATAAAGAAAACTGAGTAGGTATCTTGTTATCTTGTAAAATCACAGATAAATATAGATATGTATTAAATATATATATATATATAAAATTATGTTGTAATAAATTAAATATAAATAGTCGGCCTATACTATCGAACCGTCTATTATGTATAAGTGATTTCAAAAATTCCTTGAGATATTGAAATGACCTCGAACTCCAGATTTTTTTGAATTCTTAATATTGTACTAAAGTTAAAATTACACCTATACTCACATTATAAGGCTAAATAATAATTATTTTCGCAAATACAAGAAAAGTTAAAATAAATAACAATGTATTTTTAAAAATTATTTAAAATGTTCTTAAAAAAGTTAACACCTCTTTGTACACTTGTATTTCAAAAAACAAATTTGTTCCAAATCCCAAAAGTCATTCACTTTTCAAAATTTTATCAAAAACAAAATTATTGTTCTAATTAAAGAAAACCAAATAGATTTATTACGCGGAAATATTTTAATATTTTAATAATTACGGAAATTAGAGCAAAATCATACCGTATTTGTTTAATAAGAAAAAATGTGTTGGAAGATCTAGTGAATAGAACTGTTAAAAATTTTATCTTAAATTTTTTCAAAAAAAATCAAAATTTCTTGTATGCCTACGTATTGTGTATTAATGAATATGAAATAAAGTTTATTGAACATATCGTAAATATTTAAATATTTTAACGAAAATGGAATTTGTGAACCATCTTGAATTTCAATATTAATTTAGAATATTAGTTAAAAATGGATTAAATTCGCAATAAATCTGAATTATACAATTCTTTTTATTGATAAATCATAGTAGGTGCTATCCAAAAAAATAATAGTTTGATCGTATGTAATACATATGTATGACGAATACAGTAAAAAACAATGGGAAGTACAATTTGCCAATAACACCTATACTTATACGTTCACCTATAAAATGGTAGACCAATGGTTTCTTGAAGTTACGTCATCCACGTGTTTCACAATTTAAGAAGAAATATTCTTTGTCTATTTTATCACCTTATTAATAGTCGAAACAATTTATCAATAACTTATTTATATTACTGCATTCGACTTCTTTCTCAAAAATAATTTAAATTCTTTAAATCTCGTATAAAATCGAAAACGAATTTTTGCCATAGGTTGTCACTGGGTGAGGAATTTTCAGCCACTAAGTGAGGTATTAAGAAATTCGTATAAATAATTTTTATTGCAGTGGCTAAATGTAATATATTTTCAAATTGCTTAACATACCAGGCCTTTATTTAATCTTGCATATTTACTTCTTAAAACAGATAATAAAATATTGAAAAATTCTAAAAAAAATATTATCTTATTTTATTTATTCTTTTCAGATAATAATCGATATCATAAGTTATTTACCATTAAAAGATATTAAAGCTGCAACATTAACATGTAAACATTGGCGTGAAGCAATTAAACATCCAAAAATTCAACAAAAATTCCATTTAGAATTATCACTATCGAAAATCATTTCATATCACAATGTTATTAATATTTTTCAAAAAAGTACTAGTAAATATACTGAATTACATATTGACACATGTTATCGTCATTTAGAACAAACCGATATTTATAAATTAATAAGAAATTCTATACCGAATGCTTTAAGAACCGTAAAATATTTAATATTTGATAGAACAAAAATAACATTTGAATCATTATATTTAATACTGTCACAGATGACTTCATTAACATATTTAAAAATTATATCTTGTGAATTATATTACAACCATAATAACAATGATATTATGAAAAATTTAAATGAATGCCGATATACAATTGAAAATCTGCAAATATTTGAAATGGAAAAATCTTATATTAATAATTATGATGGTTTAGCATCTATATTAAGTGTAACATCAAATTTAATTGAATTTAATATTAATTGTACAACATATAGTAGCAGTAATTTTGAAAATTCATCAAATATACAAAAGAAAATTATATCAGAAATTATACAAAGAAATTATAAAACATTGAAACGAATATATTTAAAGAGTTTTGAATTTGGTGAAGCATTCCTAAAAATATGTAATACAGAAGAAGATAAATTTAAAGATTTATTAAAATTAGAATCATTATCAGTATTATTAGATTATAGAGCAAAATTATATATAAATGAATTTGAAAATTTTTTATCAAAACAAAATCAATTAAAATATTTAGATATTTGTACATTTCCAATTGTACAATTAATACCAGAAAATCTATATAAATTAAATCATTTAAAAATATTTTCATGTTTAGATAATTTAAAGAATTTCGATTTTCATGTTATATCGAAATTTCAACAATTAAAAACTTTAGAATTAAAAGGTGAAATGAATTTACAAACTGATAAAAAACCAATCATAAATAATTCATTAAAAGAAATCATATTGGAAATGTTAATTATTTCGGATTCATATATTGAAAATATTAGTAAATCATTTATAAATTTAACAATATTAGAATTAAATTCATCAAAAATATATGATAGTACAATGCAAGCAATTATTAAAAATTTAAAAAATTTAAAGAAATTAAAAATTGATACTTTTAAGGTAAGTTATATAAGCTAGACTTTAGTCTCAATTAAAATACAATAATGCCCCATAATTCTATGAACTAAATTTAATTTAAATACACGGCCTTATTGGATTTTCCAAAATGTTAGAATCTTATCAAATCACAGTTTTTACAATTGCACTTTTCTTCTTATAGGGTAGTGATTATGGATTTACTGGAATTGATTCAGAAACTGGCAAACAAAATGGTGTACCAATTTGGAATTTAACAAAATTAGAAAATTTAAAATTATTTTATACAAAAGCATTTAATCACCAAACAATTATGAATTTTTTCAAATTTACACAATTAAAAACATTTTTATTTGAAAATATTAAAATTAGATGGAAATGTGCTCTACCAGTTGATTATATTTTACAAATTATTAATAATTGCCCGGAATTAGAAACATTACGTTTTTCATATAATGAAGAAGTTTCATTGCAATCAATTAGGAAATTAAAAGAAATTTATGATCCACAAAATCGAATTATATCACGTGATTTTAAAAATTGTATTAAAATAAAAAATTTAAAATAAAAATAAAATTTTTGTTTTTATTAAATAAAATTCAGGTTGCGACAACTAAATCCTAAAGTATTAATTTAAATTTGGAATAAATAAAAATTTTAATATTTTGTTTAAATGTTACATTTTTATCACGCCCTGCGGTTAATTATTATAAACTATAATTATGGAAAATTTCAATCCAACAATTCAAGAGAAAAGAACAACTAAAGGTAAAAGAGCAATCTTTTGGTTTTTATTTTCAGGTAAAAAGCAATTGTAGAAGGTTAACACAGCCTTGTTAAAATTCCGATCTCAATTATTATGACATTGTAGAATGTTAAGGATTTGGCAGCTTATAAAAAAATAAGCTGCCAAAGCTGCCATTGGAGATCTAACCGGGTAGTTTAGATAGGGCATTAATAATCGTATACTCAATGATGGCCAGGTTATCATGGGATAGTGGTAGCCAAATAGCACTTTTGCGCTAATTGGGGTTCGGTTGACCTTCTACACTAGCTATATCAACCAACCAACCTATTTTTGCAGCTTTTCATTTATGCGAAATCGCAAAAAATGATCAAGATATTTTAATATCTTTTACCTAATAAAATATTTATGTTGATGTAAATATTTCGGTAAGTATTCGATTTTTTTACAAAGAAATTTCATATACGAATATACAGACGGATAAAAGTCAGTAGCAACCATAGAATTTATAAAACCCCTAAAATTAACTTCATTGCATATCTCCGTATTTCAGTGGCAATATTCAATTACATTTCATATTAAGTAACTATATGGCAATTAAAAAAATCTGATGTGGTCAGCACATAACCGACCGCATTGTGTATTGTCTAGTTAAATGAAAGTGTTACAGAATATTATAAAAATGTCTGTTAAATACTTCTTTCCAATTTTTAGGACATTAGTAAGCTTATAGTTAACATACTTAGAAAAATGTAAATTTGGCTCTTAGTAGAGTTTCGCTTTGTGCTACCCGAATTCCCTGAAATGCTCGCCAGTTAGTTTGGGTAACAAACAGAAGTCAAATATCAAATTTCAAGAAATTCCATCAATTTGTTCTGTGGATATGGTGAAAAATGTAAAATCGGCCCGCAAATCAGTTCTCGAGCCCTGATCTTTCCAAAAAAGTTATATATTCATTGCTTTAATATGAGGAATTCATATATTAAATTTCAATGAAATCGGTTGATTATTTCTCTTTATATACACAAAAGTGTATGTTTGGCCCGTAGTAAACGTCTAGTTGCCGATGCCTGATCTTTCCAAAAAATTTACATTTTCATTGCATTGAGTCGCTTTATTCTACTAGTAATATCACGTAGAATAAAGCGACTCAATGCTTACTATATTTTTTTTTTTGTGAAAATGCGAAATAGATTATAACATTCAGTATGAGTTAAAAGGTAAGGAACAGAATCAGGGTTTAATAAATAATTAAATAAATAAATAATATCAGGGTTTAAAATAATTTAAAAACCTATAAATTTATTATAAAATTTTAAAAGAATTAAAAGAAATTACTTACAAGTTTTACTTAATCATTAAATGTACTAAAATTCAAAACTAGTTCTAGACACGAAATTTATTATTCTAATTTCTACTTAAATAAATAAATTACTCTATTTTTCACAATTTTGTTACAAATCCTTAAATCACGGTACTAAATCTACAATAGTTATACAATTTTTAAAATGACATGTTTTTATACTTTTCATTTGTGGTTTTAACATTTCTGATAAATCTTTAATACATTGTGATGATGCTTCCTCATAAAATGAAAATCTCAATGATACTAGAAGTGGACAGTTCTTAATTATTTCCCATAAATAATCAGTTGTTAACGAATATGTTTCATTCATTGTACTATTTTCAAGGCATAACTCTTTTAAATTTTTAAAACGAAAATATAATTTTACTAGATCACGATTTAAAATTCCAACATAATAAATTCTTAAACTTTCTAATTCTGTTAAATTTGATATTGGTAAACCTTCTTCTTTTCCTGTATCACAATTAATACCACTTAAACCATAATCTGTGCCCTTTAAAATATAATATTTTTACAATGAATTTTTAAATTTTTTATAATAAAAATTTTACCTGAAACGAATCTAATTTCAAAGTTTTCAGTTTTGTCAAATATTTAATTATCGATTGTACCGCCATATCATCAATATTTGCTGAACATAATTTTAATAATTCCAAATTTCTAAATGATTTACTTATAGCCACAATATCATTACTTCCAATATCAGACATTTCTAATATTAATTCTGTTAATGAATAATTAATTCTTGGCTGCATTATATAATGTCCCATTGAAATATGTCCTTTGATTTCAAGAATTTTTAATTTTTTAAATTTCGAAACAGTATAAACATTAAAATTTTCAAAATTATCACAACATGCGAAAATTTTCAAATGTTCTAAATTTTCAAGATATTCCGGTTGAAAATTTAATTGAAAATTACTTAATGTACAAATATCTAAAAATTTTAATGATTTCTGTTGGTATAAGAAATTTTGGAATCCATCAACATATGGTACCGAATGATGACTAAAAACAACTGATAAACTTTCTAATTTTAAATCTTTAACATCAGTTATTGATGCAAATGGTTCACCATATTCAAATGTTTTTAAATAAATTTTCTTTAAAGTTTTTGCATTCTTTCTTATAATATTAATTAAAAGTTTAACCATTTGGGTAGATGTCGCTAAAAAATCACCAAATGATGTACAATAAACATCGAATTCAATTAAATTTGCTGTCATATCTAAAATCGATAATAATTTTTCACTATTACCAATAACAGATGTTGTCATATTTAAAACTTTTAAATTTTTCATAACATTTTCACATAATTTCATATTTGATACATCACTATTATCAATATCACATGCATTTACCGTTAAATTTGTTAATTTTTCCGTTTTGGCTAATAGACAACATAGTGTATCAAAAGTTAATTTAGTTTTCTGTAATGTTAAATGTTTGACATTTCGAAAGATTTGTGTTTCATTCTTAATTAACGAATAAATATCGGTAAGTTCTAATTGACTATGAAAGGTTTCAATTCGTAATTCATTATATTTTGTAAAACTATTTTTAAATGTACAATATAAATTATGTGATAATTGATTTGATAATGACATTTGAATGAAAAAACGTTTTTGAATTTTCGGATGATGAATACTTTCACGCCATTGTTTACATGTTAATGCTGCCGATTTAATGTCTTTAAATGACAAATAACCATAAATTTTGACAATAATCTTTAAAAGAAAAATTAAAAATTAAAAATAATTTGTTCTTAAATTCTTGAGTTTTTACATACCTCTATAGGAAGTAAACCAAAATCGCAATATACTAGGTTTTTGTCAAGCTTAATTTCATCTGCTATAATAATATTTGACAAATGTTCGATGTAGGAAATCATTTTGTACATTTTTTCTTTTCTTTAAAAATATTAACGAAATTATGGAATAAAATTTAAAATTGTACTAGGAATAAATTGAAATGTGATCCCAGTATTTATAGAAATAAGAATAATCAAAAAGAAATTTAATTATAATTACCTAAACTTGTATTAAGAAGTGTAATTGAAAATATTTAATTACTTTGGGTTGCGGGTTAAAAATCCTTTAAGAAAACTAAGACATGTTTAAGAATAGCATTATTGTACACTCGAGATTTGAAATGTACAAGATAGTTTTCAAATATTTCAATCATTAAATAATTAATTTTTAATAACTTATTAATCAATGCTTAAATGCCTTGACCTTAAAAACGTTCAAAGTACATTAACAAAAATTTGTTGGTAAAAATGCAATAAAAGTGTAGAATAAGAATGTAATAAAATGGGATATGTAAAAAATAATACAGTAAAACTCGGTTAATTATTATAGGACTTATAAATGCTAGATCCAACAATCTAGCTAACGTTATGTGCGGTTGATTGTGAAGCACTCTAGTTTTAGCCTTTTTAATATATTTTAATATTAAGTAGCTCGCGTAAAATGCAATTCGCTTAAGTGCACAAAACTATATTGTGCACGTATTGTGGCTTACAGTACATAATATATATTTCCTTCAAAAAATAATTTTAACTCAAAATTTCCTTTGCAAATAAAAATTAATTTTGGTGCTCATCAGACACGATGATTTATGATGCACTTCAATGCAATGTCAAAGGAAGAGTTAACCTACATATATCTGTAAATGCTTAAGTTTGAAATGAGAATTGTGTAGCTATCACTCGAAATTGCAAACCGAGTTGCAAAACTTGATATTACATTTCAAGTTAATTACACAAGTAATTTTAAATTAAGTATTAAAAAAAAAATCCGAATAAGTGTTTCTGCTCCTGCTACGTATACTTAAATATGCAATATGAATTTCGATTCAAGTACGGTAATCCTAAGTTCAATATTTAATTCGGCAGTGTTTATATGTAAAATATTTTGCAGGTTTTGCAGGTGTTTGTTTTTTTAACCTCTTCGCGTTTTATTATTATTACACTGTGTATCAAAAGAAATATACTGAAAAACTGGAATAATTTTAAAAATATTTGTTAATTTTATATTTTCGTGTATTTTCCAAATATTATTCTAAAAACAAATTAAACTTGAATATTTGAATTAGAATCAGGTTTTTGAAAATATTATAAGTATAGCTATTTTAGATAAAAATATTGAACAAGTAAAAAATTTTTATCAGGTGATTTTAGAATTCTTATTATTTTTTAAAAATATTAGCCGGAAGAAGGCGAATACAATACTGGAATTTTATACAAAACTAGATAGGTGTATGTTAAGCCAACTAAAATGAAATCATTCTATATTATTCTAAAATTAATTGAACAAAAAATTTAGTTACATCCGGTATAATATTGTTAATTACCTTTAGAACCTTTAATTGAAAAAATGAAGCAAGATTTGTAAAAAATTTTGCTTGAAGAAAGATTTGTCAAAACGATTTTCTATATAGTGAACTTAGTCGAAATGCCTTAGATAGTAAATTAAGCACAATAATCCATTACTAAATAATTATAC